TAAAAATAATTTAAAACCTAAAAAGTAAGCTAAAGAAGAGTATAAATGGTATAAAGTCTAAACTAAATAAAGCTTTGCAAGACTTTTTTTTTGGTAATTCCTCATTGTTTAAGTTCCCTTTGTGTGCCAATTTTGGATATTCCTTGCTAGTGGCTGCACCAAAACAGAACACGTCTACGTAATGACATAATGAGAGGACAACCCGAGCAGTGCATCCTACATCCTGTTTCTGTTTGCTTTCAGTCTCAAATCGAAAAATCCTCGCTGGCCTCAAATGGAGTGCATTCGATTAGAAAGCCAACGGCAGTTGAGATGTCTAAGCCAAGAGTCAAGGTGTTTGAACACTAATAGCTTATATACACTTAAAAAAAATAGGGTTAGATTGAAAATAAAGCATATGAAATTAAACAAAAACAGCTAGAAAACCAGGAAAACTTTTGATCTTGAAGTAAGAATTTATATCGAGAGAAAAGGCCCGGTGTGATAACGTTATTCCAATAATAATAATAAATTAATTACGAATAAAAACAATATTTTCGTAAACAACCAACTCCCCAACATTTCTTTCAGTGCCAAACTTAGCCAGAACTAAAAGGGTAGCAGAGACTGGCAGAAGCACGTACGTAGTTGACAACCCGTTGACGGTGAGTTCATTGCAAAATGAGCATACGAGCATACGCCGTGTGGGCCCAGGTGTAGTAAGTGCAGCAGCCAGGCGGCAGTAATGCCATTAATCAAGACGCTCCTCTCCTCTCCGATCCGCTCTGCTCTGCTCTGCTGACACAAGGCGAACAAACTATGTCAACGGATTTGTACGGAGATTTGCCAAAAGATTGTAAAGCAGGCAGTCTGGTGGTAGCAGGCCCTGCTAGTTGACATCCTGGGCTTGGCGTTGGACTTTTTATCAAATCGGGACTTGATTTGATTAGGAACCCCCGCCGCAGCCTCCAAGCGGGAATGACAAACGATTGGCCAGCCGAATTGGCCAGCTGCTGATGTCCTCTGACAGCTTAATACTTGTCGTCTGCCAAACGATTTGGAAAAATTGATTGTGTCCACACTCACAATCAATTGCCGGAGGAAATTCGGCTGCCGAATGGCAAGGCAATAAACAATTCAGCAGCCAAAAGCGGAATTGAAAGTGTGATTTAGATTCGAGTCCAAGAGAGAAAGCCAAAAAAGCTGGACATAGAGAACTAATTTAAGATGCTTCTTTCTGGGTATTTTTTCCTGGCAAAGCAAATACTAAGCCACAAAAGTGTGATTTGCGGATGTTTCCTGCAGAAATCGCTAGATAATGCAAATGGAAATAGACAAAAAAATAGAAATAAAACAAAGCCACAAACCACTTTATTCCAGTCGAATGCTCACGGTTGCCAAGGCAATCTAAAAAGTGCCAGTACCTTGGTCTTCGCCTCGTCTTTGCCTTTGCCTTTGCATTCAATGTTTTTCCGCCTCGGACAGCTTATATTTTTTCCTCCCCCCGCCTATAATTTATACTTCTATCTCAAGAGAGAAAAAAAAATGAAAACATAAATAAAGCGCCCAATAAAATTGTAAACTGCCTTGTCACCGCCGCTCAAAAGGAGATCCAACCACAACTGACCAAAAAAAATAAGAGAAAAACCCACTCAAGTGACTCTGGCACCTTTCAGCTCAAGTAATTAGCAATTTGTATGGCTTTTGGTCCGGAGCCATTTATTACGCAAAGCGCTTACAAAACGACCTGAAAGTTCAGCGCACCTTGCTGCTCCTACTGCCCGGAAAAGTATGCTACGGCAATGCTATCCTGGGCATCCTTAGAGGCCGCTAACCGGCGCCACCTAAGCATAATGAATGTTACCTAAGCATGATTTATTTCTTTACGCAGCTCATAAATCTCAGGGTCAGCTAGGAAGTGCGTGGGAAACTTGAAATATAAGTAGAACCTTGAATACTCTAAGCTATTTTTAAACTTAATATTGAAAACTGATACCTTCTTCACTTAAGACTTATAAAATCTTCACAAGATGGCATATCATTACACTATTATTTAAATTTAAAGCTGAAACTTTCTAAGGCTTAATAATGACACAAGAAATAGTTCATTGCTCTCAAAAATGTAGCTTTAACTATTATTTTTCTATATCATTTCCCTCTTAAGAAAATCCCAAAAACCAACGTGACTTAGTCAATGGACTCTCCATAAATATACCTTGTGTTCCGTCTTCACCTTCATGGAAAATGTTCTCATAATTACGTGAAATGGCCAAACGGGGCTTTTCCGGAGCTGGTAAGGTGTGAAGCTGGATGCCGACACTTTGACCTTTCGGCCACCACAATGTCCGCTCGTTAGTCAATCCTTAGCAATTTGTTATCAATCAATAATAAATGTAAATAACATAATAATAAGAAGAACACTGGCCGCTCCTTGGGGCCATCAGCTCAAATTGTCTATGCGTCAGCCAATGGGGCCAAAAAGGAATTCGGCCTAAATGAATTATGGCCAGCAAGGAGAGAGAAAAAAAAAAATATAAAAATAACCGAAGAAGTGCAAGATGTGGAACGAGACACGCGCTTCATTCGATATTGTGCCAGTTTTTTTTTCCGCCTCATCATGGCAGCTGTTTTCCGAATAGACAACGCCGCCAATTGAGCGAAAATCAATGGCCAGCCAGTCAGTCTGTTCCAGCCAGTGTCCAATATACACGCAGAGATACAAAGATACTACCCACCCACAGATACACCCACTCGGATCCAATCAGTCGATACAGCATGATGGCAGCTCCGTGGTCTTGGTCCTATTTTACACTTTTTTAGTGAAACAGATTCTCTTTTTTCACCCCCGTACCCGGTACTAGGTGGGGTTTAGACTGGTCAAGAGAGTATTTTTTATGGTTTTTATAATTAATTTTTATAAGAAGAAAATTTTGTTAATTAAAAACTACTTAAATATAAAATTAAACTTGAGCTTCAAGGCATAAATAAATATATATTTGATGATCCTCGCAGCTGCCATTCTATCCATAAATAAATGAATACATTTGACATAACATGTTATCTTTGAATTACAATATCTTAAAGTAAAAGTATCTCAAACCCTACCAAGTATCTCACAGTCGTTCCTTGCAACTATTAACTTTTCCTGTTGTTTTTTTAGTTTTTCCTGCTTGTTTTCTTCTCATTCGGTATGCGTTTTGAAGCTTTGGAAAAGTATTCCATAGCTTAAAGCTAGAAAAATAGAACTGCAAACTGGAAACAGATACAAATGCTGGGTAATCTCTAGAGGAGTGCGAGAGTCCTTCGTCTGCACCTGTGCGGTAAGTTTTTCCCTGCTGCCGTCGGCAAGTTCATCTTATTCCGGCTAATTATTCCATTTGTTTTGCAGCTTCAAGTTTTTTGTCTTGCTCGGTTTCCGTTTCGGCGCCTCAGGGATTCGGTGGCGTGACTGCACTGCCAAAGAGTGCAAAACAAAAAGTTGTGCCTGGCTGGGAAACTCCTCCGACGATGAGGAGCAGACATATTGCACAGCACATGCAATTCTGTCAAAACACTCGTCCTCGGTTAGCAGCTGGTAAGTAACGCCCGGAAAATGTGGGAAATTAGTGGGCGAGTCACGGAAAAGTTTTAGATGGATTTTGGCTCAAGATTAGTGTGTGGGGAAATACTTTGTTTTACTTTTTGCTCTTTGGCTGGAAAGTATTTGTAAACAAGCCTAACGAACTAACGCCCAGTATCGCTTATCGGAACGAATTGGTTGTTTATTAATTAGGTAAAAGATAACGTAATTTTATGATATTTCATTATAGAAAATTCCTTAAGAAATGGAAATGGCCTAGGGTCTTTTGTAAACAATATAAGTAATACTCTGGCAATTCGGAACTGTGAAGTTTTGATCAGTTAAGGTTGTATTTGAAAGAAATATGAATTTATTTACCTTTTCTTTTCTTATCTGATGGTTTAATAGCAAAGTTTCTGCAGCTATTTTGTATATTATTCATTTCCAAACATTTTTAATTATTTTCTTGTGTTATCTGATTATAATAAATGCTGTCAATTATTTTATTATAATTGTGGCAATGCGTTTGAATATATTTACGAGCCACAGTTAAACTTCTGTGATAGTTATATCTTCATTTTGTGATACAATATAAAGCCTTTCCACCTTTAAGTAAATTGCGCGACTTGGCTTTCTCTGAAATTAAGCACCTTGTATCGAATAATGAACGGCAAATCCAAGATTGCAATACTGATTACACTATCAAATATTAAACAAAATGTCAATTCATAGAACACAAATTTGTTTATCAATAAATACCACTACTACTACCTTATCTAAGGGGTTCCCCGCTCTTCCCTTGGTTAAACAATCACAAATCAATATATTTGCCAACTACGGAGTGACTCTAATGGAAATCGTACTTAGTTAGGTGCTTTCTGAATAAATACCATAATATTCCATCAATTACTCGAACTCACTTGATCAGCGGTGATAGAAACGCCTCTATGCCTGATGATTTCAGATTTCTAGAGAGCTTTTCAACCGCTTCAGCTATCTGACTCTCTCTGAAATCATATATATATATATACAATTATATATATATTCGATTTAATAGGTTTTATGGTTTGGCGTGCGACCGGGTACAATTATTACGAGATTATCATTATAGGTAGTATTAGTAAACGTAGACTTTGATAGTAGAATTAAACATTTAAATATGCCCATGGTCATACTCGAGGGTGGTGCCTCATTAGCCATTATCTTTTCTTCCAAATTCTTATGCACTCTTTAAAGCTTTATCGCTCGAATGTACCTAAAAACCAAAACAATTCCAAGGAGGCATGACTCAACCAGTCTAAAATGCAAAACAAGTTCGCAAGTCAACATAAAAATTAAAAAATACGACTATAGTAATGAAATTTTGTTGTTAAATATACTTAAGTAATCATTTTTTAACATTTGGAAATTAAATGTTGAGATAACATTATGTGTATAAATAAAAAGAAGTTTACGCATTTAATTCACATTGATTAAGTCCCACAACAAGTTTTTAATTTATTTATACACCTTTAAAACATTTCATTTTAAATTCCCTTAATAAAAAATAAACAAAACCTTAAACTCTCTCCACTTTAAGGTGAATGCCATGCTCGGTGCCAAGGGTAAACGATTTGGTACCCAAAATCAAGGGTACTTCCGTGCGCTTGGAGACGCTGAACTTGAAGTTATGAAGCAGGGCGACCAGACCGATCTTAGATTGGATCTTGCCAAATCTCAAACCAATGCAGTTTCGGGGACCATCCCCAAAGGGCAGATAGGCCATCGGGTGGCGGGACTTGGCTTCCTCTGGCTCAAAGCGACTGGGATCGAACTTCTCCGGCTGGGGATATATCTCAGGGTCGTGGTGAATGTTGTGCACGGGTATCAGGAGTTGAGTGCCCGTCTCAATGACCACGTCCATGTTGGGCACCTTATAGTCCCGACTGGTCTCCCTTATGAGGTGGGGAAGAATGGGATGCTTTCGAAGGGTTTCTGAGGATAATATCTGAGTTAAAGTTTATCCTTTGACTGGGATAACATCTCACTTACCAGCCAGCACCTGTTCCAGGTAGGTCATTTCGGCTACTGCATCATAAGAGATCTCTCCTCCCTCCGTCTTGCTGAGGACACTTTTAATCTCTTCCCTTACTCGATCCTGAATGTCCTGCTGCAGAGCTAGCTCGTACAGGCAGAAAGACATCGTGCTTGAGGAGGTCTCGAATCCAGCCACGAAGAACACAAAGGCCTGGGCAGCCATTTGCTCCAAGGTCAATCCGTGTGAAAGGTCGATTCCCTTGCCCTTTTGTGCTGCCTCTTCATTTTCAGCCTTCAGTTGGATCAACTGATCGATGAAATCGTTTCGCTTTATGTTATTCTTCTTCCTGTAATCGACGGTGTTCCTCACAGTCGACAAAAAGAACTCTGTGAGATCGTCGGGCAACACCTTCATGCGCAGTGTTCTGGCCAACTTGGCATTCGTGAAGAGAAAAGCTTGAATTAATTGTGGATGACGACGTCTCTCAAAGAGGGCGCGTCCCATCGCCCGGAACTCGGCACTGGGATCCTTGAGACTGTTGCACTCCAGGCCAAAGGCACAGGATCCAATCACATCCGTTGTGAAGCGAGCACAGAGTTCTTTGATCTCTACTTCGCCACCGTCCACTGCAGCAGCCTTCACCGTGGTATCCATGGTATCGACCAAGTGGTGGCTCACCTCCACAATCACATTGGACATGTGCTTGATCTTACCAGAGGTAAACACTGGCGACAACTTATGCCGCATCGATTTCCAAGCCTCACCCTCCAGGGCAAAGAGATGTCCCGTCAAAGGATCATCTCGCGGGTTATTGAAAGCTCCCCGATCCTGGAAGTAGTTGAAGTCCTTGATCAGCACCTGCTTGATGAGATCCAGGTCGATGATCATGGCAACTCGTCTAACGAATATAAACATTCCGGCGAGGGGAGCCTTTCCCTTGAACTGGTCGTAGATTCTCTGGTTGATGTCCCGGAAATGGTACTTGGATCCGATTCCCTTCATGTTTCCGATCACCGGAAGTGGGGGTTCGTAGGGCACACCCTTCCGAGCCCAATAGGTGTAGGTGTTGTGGTAAAAATGGTAGGCCAAGGCCAGGACCACGCCCAGCAGGGCGATTGTGAGCAGCATTGCGAACGCTTGGTACTTCTCTAGTTGAACTCACAGAGAACACTACTAATTTGGTAGACAAATTCTGACTTTTATACCAAAAAATAAACGTTTCTTATCTTGTCGCAAACATTAAGGTAGCGATTACCTTATCACTTGTGTTAAATGATTCAGAGAACAAAACATAGATTAATAAAGGTATTTTTAGTTATTTTAGAGACTGATTGGAAATTTGATTTATCAATGAAGTTTTTTATTTATCTAGTTATTAAAACAAACGCAAATTATTTTTTGCCAAGTAGAGAATGACTATTAGGGGAACACCCACAGATTGTCTGACGAAATTTTAGCACTTTCCAAGTCAATATTATCACATACTCGACCTCACTTGATTGGCTCGCGTCGACAACTAAAAAATTTGCTTAAAAGCATGACATTTTTAGAATTCTGTGCGAGCTTTTCTAATACCTCAAGCTCTCTGGCTCTCTAAAACTCATGAAAACAAACCCAAACCAAAACAAAATGTATATTTAAACTGGTTTTAATTGTTTATATAGCTGGAAGTGCGATGGGTATTGGGAGAGCAGTGACACACAGATAGAGTGACTGAGCAGAAAGTTCTGTTTAACGATCAATTAAAGATTATAGCAATTACTAACCTATCATACTCAAAGGTGGAGGCTTTTTAAGTATTATCTATTATTTAAAATTTAATTTAATTAAACTTAAGATAAGGGTTGCAATCTATACCTATGTAAACTAAATGTAAACATAATAAACCTGATTTATTATCAAATTGCAAGACATATAGCTTTTCAAATATCATATTTTCCTCACTGTTTTGTTTAGTAACAAACATGAATGTATAACAATTTATAAACCATTTCAAATACATTTTTCCCTAACATATGCCTTATTAAACTTATGTCTTTTGCGGTCATAAATCGATCAAAATCGGCAAGAGCCCGCCATCTATACATCCATCTATATAATATCCAAAATATTCCTTAGGCTTGGCTCCTAGATTATTTAATTCCGGCTTTTGTTTTGATTTTCGTTTGTCACGCTGTGAGTTTTATGGTTCGAGCTGCCTTAACGGCGGCGTTACGATTTTTATGTCCAATGGAAAATGGCGCATTAGCGGCATAAAACGGGCCGTAAGCATTAGGGCCAAAATCCTTTAAGCACAGCCAACACACACACAACACACACACGCACAGTAACAAAATGCTTTTAGGCGCGACTCTGTTTTATTATTTACTGAAGAGCCGCAGACACAGGTCCTTGGAGTCCTGTCGATGCTGGGCAGATGGGCGGACGAGCCACTCCACTTCTCTGGCTGTCCATCAGGAATATCGTTTAATGGGCCTTTAATCGCTTTCGCATAAATTTTCTCGCGACTTTGTAATAAACCTGGTGGGGTGGCCATCGTCGCCACCACCTCTGACATTTTCCCTCGAGGCCCTCGATTTTATGTTAGTTTCATTGAGTTTTCGCATGATTCGCATTCCTGCACTTGCCGGGCTTAATTAAAGGCGAGACTCAAAGGCCGGGGCCAGGGAGCACGACATCCGGCAAGTCGTCTACCAAATCATTGGCACTCAGTCAACAGGCTCCTCGTTTCCTGTTTACACTCTTATTCTCGCATTTCAATTAAAAAGGACAAACAGGAGTCGATTGACAAGGTGCCATCCGGAGCAGGCAAGATGACGCAATTGCATAGCTTTCATGACTTTAATAAAGGGAAACAGAAAGGATGATATTGTCACAGAGATGCTATTTAAAAGTGTTTAAAAAAAGGGGATATATATTTTAAATTGATTACTAGTTAATATATATATAAATATCTATATCTATATTACGAAACCCCTAACCTAGATCAACATTAGTTATTAAGCAGAATGAGTCAACCTCTCTCCATCTATCCATTCACATAATAAACTACAGACTTTCTACGCATTTTAAGTACAAACTATCATTTCAAGTACCTACTACAAGTACTGAAGGCTTATTTACATCAGCTATTGTTTAGATTACGAGTGCAGCCATAAAATAAATATTAATACGGAAAAATTCTCGCTCGCTTCAGCATTATACAGCATTGTACCGGCTTTTAGCAATTTATCAGTTCTGTTTTGATCGTCATGTTCGAAGAGCACTAATATAACGAGAGCTTTGCTTATCAAAAAAAAAGCTTTAGCGCCTATATTAACCCCACAATTGGGCAAACATTTTATAGTTTTGACTGTGCGTTGTACAAGTTAAGTCGAAAAATAAATAATTTTATAAAGTGTGTCAGTTCATCCCTAACCATGCTGCTAACACTCGCCCTGCTGGGGCTGGTCCTGGCCTTGGCCTACAATTTCTATCAGAATATCTACACCTATTGGACCCGGAAGGGGGTCTTACATGAGACCCCTCTGCCGCTGTTCGGAAACATGAAGGGAGTCGGAATCAAGTACCATATGCGGGACATCAACCAAAGGATTTACGACAAGTTCAAGGGAAAGGCTCCCTTTGCGGGAATGTTTATGTTCTTCAGGCGCACCGCCATGATTATTGATCCGGATCTCATCAAGCAGGTGCTGATCAAGGACTTTCATTACTTCCAAGATCGTGGCGGCTTTAACAGTAGCCGTGACGATCCCCTGACTGCTCACCTGTTGACTTTGGAGGGCGAGGAGTGGAAGTCAATGCGCCAAAAGCTAACACCTGTGTTCAGTTCCGGCAAGATCAAGAAGATGTCCGGAGTGGTCGTGGAGGTGGGTCACCAACTAATCGATGCCATGGATCAGTGCGTTAGGGAGGCAGCCGTCGAGGATGGCGATGTGGAAATCAAGGACCTCTGCGCCCGCTTCACAACAGATGTGATTGGATCCTGCGCTTTCGGACTGGAGTGCTACAGCCTGAAGGATCCCAATGCCGAGTTTCGGAGCATGGGTCGCAAGATCTTCGAGAAGCCACGCCACTCGATGCTGGTAAACATATTCATTATGACCAATGCTAACTTGGCCAAAAAGCTGCGAATGAAAATATTATCCGATGAAGTAACCCAGTTCTTCTTGTCGGCTGTAGAGAACACAGTCGACTATCGCCTAAAGAATGGCGTAAAGCGAAACGATTTCATCGATCAGTTGATCGAGCTGCGGGCCGAGGACCAGGAAGCGGCCAAAAAGGGCATAGGCATTGATCTTTCCAAGGGATTGACCCTGGAGCAAATGGCTGCCCAGTCCTTTGTGTTCTTCTTTGCTGGATTCGAGACCTCTTCGAGCACGATGTCCTTCTGCCTGTACGAGCTAGCTCTGCAGCAGGACATCCAGGATAGACTGAGGGAGGAGATTGAAACTGTTCTCAGTGGAGGCGAGCTTACGTATGATGCTATAGCTGAGATGACGTATCTGGATCAGGTTGTTTCTGGTGAGTAGGGGGTTCTAAGAGGAATTAATATATAAATATATAAATTATAACGAAATTCATTTATCATGCAGAAACTCTTCGCAAGTATCCCATAGTTTCAGCCCTTTTCCGCATTGCACACGACAACTACAAGGTTCCCCACACGAACCACGTCCTTGAGAAGGGAACCACGGTGCTGATTCCCGTGCACAATATACATCGCGATGCCAATATATATCCGGAGCCGGATAAGTTCGATCCCAGTCGCTTTGAGCCGGAGGAAATCAAGGCTCGTCATCCATTCTCCTATCTGCCCTTTGGTGACGGTCCCCGAAATTGCATTGGCTTGAGGTTTGGAAAAATGCAAACCAAGATCGGCATCGTCTCCTTGTTGCGGCGCTTCAAGTTCAGTATCTCAAAAAGGACAGAGGTTCCCCTGGTCCTGGACATTCGCAGCAACACTCTGAACTGCAAAAATGGCATTCACCTGAAAGTGGAGCGGATCTGAACACTAGGATTTGAGGTAGAAAATATCCTTAAATTCCATGACAAGTGTAAAAATAAATTTATATTCACAAATTTAAAATGTTAATTTTAAATGTATTATTAGTTTTGGATTATTTTTCTATATTCTGGGATTACCAAATGTTACTAAGACGTGTCTAGCTTATCGATTGTTTCAGCTGTAATTAATTAAAGAATTAAATATATATTAAACTAAACTGCGAGTTTATATCAAACACTTTTACCTAATTAAACTTTTTAAGCTCTCAATTTAATTTAAGATAATGAAAATTTTTTGCATTTCCCATATTAATTCTCTGAAAATTTATTATTTAGGCAAAGCCTTTGACTTTTTCATTGGGTTTATAACTGAATGCGATTATGAGAAGAGAAGTTCCGACGCTATGCGGCCATAAACAAATACAAAATACACTTTCTCAGTCGCTTCAGCATTACACAGCAGTTTGCCGGCATAAACAACATGAATTATTCATTTGTTTGTGCTATCAGTTTTGTTGTGATCATCGTGTTTGTAGAAAAACAAGCCACAACCAATAGAGAGAAAGCTTCTATAATATAAAAAAAGCTCCTTGCCCCTTTATAAACCTCGTGCCTCCTCAGAAATATTCCAGTTCTCATTTTGCATTGTACAAGTAAAGTCGGCTATAGTAGATTTCAAAGCCGGATTAATACAAATTTAATAGGTGTTGCTATACTAGGAGCTTAGATAGGTTCATTATCAGTGCCATTTTAATTGCTGTTTTTTAGTGATCAGTAAACCCTAAATGGTAGAGCTTCCGTGGCACAAAGAACTTGTTATATTTGACTGTAAATTTAGATATCGCTGCGTAGAAAAGCATCGCTGATCATGCTGCTTACACTCGCCCTGCTGGGCGTGGTCTTGGCGTTGGCCTACAATTTCTACCAAAACACCTACACCTATTGGGCCCGCAAGGGGGTGCCACATGAGACTCCCCTCCCCCTAATTGGAAACATGAAGGGAGTCGGAATGAAGTACCATTTCCGCGACATCAACCAAAGGATTTACGACAAGTTCAAGGGAAAAGCTCCCTTCGCCGGAATGTTTATGTTCTTCAAGCGCACAGCTATGATCATGGATCTGGATCTTATCAAGCAGGTGCTGATCAAAGACTTCCATTACTTCCAAGACCGTGGCATCTTTAACAATACCCGAGACGATCCCCTGACTGGTCACCTCCTTACTCTGGAGGGCGAAGAGTGGAAGTCAATGCGGCAGAAGCTGACACCAGTGTTCACTTCCGGCAAGATCAAGCAGATGTCCGGAGTGGTCGTGGAGGTGGGTCACCACTTGATCGATGCCATGGATAAGTCCGTGAAGGCGGCTTCCGTGGACGATGGCGACGTGGAGATCAAGGAACTCTGCGCACGTTTTACAACGGATGTGATTGGATCCTGCGCCTTTGGTCTGGAGTGCTATAGCCTTCAGGATCCCAATGCCGAGTTCCGAAACAAAGGTCGCATGATCTTCGAGAAGCCCCGCCACTCCATGTTGGTCCAGTCGTTCATCTTCACCAATGCCAAGTTGGCCAGAAAGTTAAGGATGAAGGTTTTGCCAGATGAGCTCACCGAGTTCTTTATGGGCGCTGTGAAGAGCACCGTCGAGTATCGCCTCAAGAATGACGTTAAGCGCAACGATTTCATCGATCAGTTGATAGAACTTCGAGCGGAGGACGAGGAAGCAGCCAGGAAGGGCAAGGGTATTGATCTCTCCAAGGGATTGACCCTGGAGCAAATGGCTGCTCAGTCCTTTGTATTCTTTATTGCCGGTTTCGAGACCTCCTCCAGTACTATGGGCTTCTGTCTGTACGAACTGGCTCTCCAGCCAGAGATCCAGCAGCGGGTGAGGGAGGAGATTGAAAGTGTACTCAGCAACGTGGAAGGAGGAGAGATCACGTACGATGCCTTGGCTGAAATGACCTACCTGGAGCAGGTGGTGGCGGGTGAGTAAAACATTGCAGGCTATCCATATATCATTGACTCTAACTGAGTGTCTTTTGCAGAAACCCTGCGTAAGCATCCCATTATTGCCCAACTTCTGCGTGAAACCAATCAGAGCTACCAGGTTCCCAACACTGATGTTGTCATAGAGAAGGGAACTACTGTGCTGATTCCCGTGCACAACATCCATCACGATGCGGATATATATCCTGATCCAGAAAAGTTCGATCCTAGTCGCTTTGAGTCGGAGCAAATCAAAACCCGCCATCCATTCGCCTACCTGCCTTTTGGTGATGGTCCCAGGAATTGCATTGGCTTAAGGTTTGGAAAAATGCAGGCCAAGATCGGCATTGTCTCCCTGCTGCGACACTTTAAGTTTGGCATCTCGAAGAAAACCGAGATTCCCCTGGAACTGGACCCTCGCAGTCCCACTCTATCTTCTAAGCATGGCATTCACCTGAAAGTGGAAAGAATCTGAGTGGTGGATTTATTTCTTAAAAGTCGATTTTATCTACAATATTTTTTATATATTGTATCTTATATATATGTTCTCTATTTTTTTTTTAGCTACACCATTTCATTTTGTTCAATAAGAGTGAAAAGTACATACATTTATGTATTTAACATACTACTTTTTAATGCCAAATGTCCAAAGTTTGTTTAACAAAATCTTTTAAAATTTAATAAAAGCCATATTTATATACTACTAATTTTATAGATATTTTTGACATATTATTTATTGATCTTGAAAGAAAGTAATATTATTTGTACTTTGTGTTCTTAACTATATGTAAATAAAATATTGAAACATGTACGATATTCATTTACTATAGGAAAAACTACTGGCAATCATTACCCGCAAAAATTGTTACAATTTGTAAACAAATGATAACTAATGACGTCATAAAGATAAAACATTTGTATATTTTAGACAGATAATTGCATTGCCCACAATATAAGAGAGAATCAGAACCGAGAGAGACTACACAAAGCTTTTCTACCCAAACACAAAATGAGCCAGAGCTCCACTCTCACCCTCAGTTGCTGTTCGACCGCGTTGTGACCACCATGTCGACTCTCTTGATTCTCGTGATCGCCGCCTGTTTCCTGCTCTATATCAAGCTCCGCCGGCACTATGCCTACTGGAGCCGCAGGGGCGTGGCTGGCGAAAAACCCATATATTTCGTTGGAAATATGAAGGGCTTTGGCAAGGAACTACACTGGACCGACATCAATCGCCGGATCTACACAAAGTTCCGGGGAACGGAACGCTACTGCGGCTACTTCACCTTCGTGAACAAGGCGCTCTTTGTCATGGATCTGGAGCTGATCCGGAAGATAATGATCAGTGACTTTAATAGCTTTACGGATCGCGGACTCTTCCACAATGTCCGCGATGATCCGCTGACGGGAAATCTGCTCTTCCTGGACGGACCCGAGTGGCGTTGGCTGCGCCAGAACCTGACGCAGGTCTTCAGCTCTGGGAAAATGAAGTTCATGTTCCCCAACATGCTCCAGGTGGGCGATAGACTGACGGAGGCATGTGGCCTTCAGATTGGTGAGATTGAGGCCAAGGATCTGTGCGCTCGCTTCACCACAGACGTTATAGGGTCTTGTGCCTTTGGACTCGAGTGCAATAGTCTGCAGGATCCCGATTCAGAGTTCCGGCGCATGGGTAGATCAGTGACCTCGAAACCACTCCATGGAGTCCTCGTTCAGGCCTTTATGTTCTCACAGCCGCAGCTAGCCAGGATGTGCCGACTGCGTCTCTTCCGGCCGGAGGTGAGCGAGTTCTTTTTGGACACCGTGCGTCAAACCCTGGACTACAGGCGGCGGGAAAATATCAAACGCAACGACCTTATTCAGTTGCTCATGGAGCTGGGCGAGGATGGAGCCAACGAGCGAGCCCTGTCCTTTGAGCAGATTGCCGCCCAAGCCATGGTCTTCTTCCTGGCTGGCTTCGATACTTCCTCTACCACTATGGCTTTCTGTCTATACGAACTAGCCCTGAATCCTGATATCCAGGATAAGCTGCGCCAGGAGATCCTGTCGGTGCCGAAGCTCACCTACGAGTCCTTCCAGGAAATGCCCTATCTAGAGCAAGTGGTGTCCGAGACGCTGCGCAAATACCCCATACTGCCGCACTTGCTGAGGCGCTCCAACAAGGAGTACTCGGTGCCGGATAGCGATTTAATCTTAGAGTCAGGCACCAAAATAATGATTCCCATTCACAGTATCCACCACGATCCGGAGCTGTATCCACAGCCCGAGAAGTTCGATCCGAGTCGCTTTGATCCGGAGGAGATCAAGGCCCGCCATCCCTTTGCCTACCTGCCCTTTGGCGAGGGACCAAGGAACTGCATTGGAGAACGCTTTGGCAAATTGCAGGTGAAGGTGGGAATCACTTACCTGTTGAGGGACTTCAAGTTCAGCCGAACGGAGCGTACTCAGATACCCATTAGGTTCTCCCGGCGAATATTCCTTATCGGCTCCGAGGATGGAGTACACCTCCGAATGGAAAAGTTGTCATAATTATATTGATAAGCCTTAAACAATGGAAGGCATAACAAAGAACATTCTTATCTATGATAAACTGTGGCTCTAGATTGCATTAATTCCAAAATATATAGAGGTATGTGTAAATATATGCATTATTCCCAACAAAGAACCATTTCTAATGGGAAAAAAAAAGCTGTCTTTCTCTCTGGAAATTCTCTCGCAAAAGCTTACTAATCAAAACTGAAATGAAAACAAAAATAAGGCAGAACTAGACAAAAACCACGAATCATTTTCGCATATTCATAATAATTAAGGTTCTTTTGGAAATTAGTTTCATAAAAAACTTTATGAAATAGAAATATGAAATAGTTCAAGGTGATAGAGAGGAACATTTATTTTGCAGATTTGATGATACTTTAATTTTTTGTGAAAATTATAATTATAAACTCATTATATTTTTGTTTTTGTAGCTAGTAAAATTATTAAAAACAGACTCCAGACTCCATCCCATTAATATTCTACTAAAACCTAAAACATTCCTATATTTTCGGTAGTTTTTCGTAATTTTTATTAATTTAATTCTTTAATAGGTATGTAAATTTCTTTTCTATGTCTATATGATGTGATTGTTAGCTGAACTATATATTTTATTTAAATACTTATTTTAAAGCTATTGTTCTTATTGAACGTTATTTATATTTATATTTTCGTTTATTTTAGTCAGATGTTTGCAGCGCAGGAATCATTCAGTTTGTATAAATTGTATAAGGGGTTAGTAAAATCGCTAAAATTGTTATTATTATTCTATATTTAAACTTTAACTTAAAATTTAAATAAATAAAAGCTCATTGCTACAAAACATCGGTTATCGATGTTTACCTGTGGCAGAGCCCTCTTTCGACGGAGCAGTGCAGCAAAGCTTTTAAGTACCATCTCTAGGCGGGGAATTTAAGTTTGAATTTGTTATTTGTCATACATATGTAATATGTTTAGAGCTTTGCCGTCGTCTTCTCAACTAATATATTTAGGTTATTTTTCAATCTAAGTACCCAGAACTTCAATACTAAATAATTCTTGACAAGAATTAAAAACTGACCATGAACAGGAAACCGAACAAAACCGAAAACTTACGTAATGATTCAATGATCCAAGTAAAATTCTCTATGTAATATCCTTCTTATCCATTCATCCAATCATGTATCATTTCTGTACATAAAAGATAGATTTGCTGAAAATAACAATATTAGTCACCCGAAAGCTGATTCTAAATTAAGCTGAAAACTTGTTAAAATTATTCGATTTTTTTTTCGTAATACCTAATTTTATTAATAATACATACAATTCAGCTTATAGGTACAAAGAATGCCTGCACGCAAGCGGTCATTAAGGTTGCATTCAACACTCGGGAGAAGTTGAGTTAATAAGTTAATTGGTCTCGCTTCTGATGCTGACGACAATGGTATCCAATCTCAATGATGATCACAGCAACGACAACGTCGACGCGGCTCGAGTACATCGGGGATTTCATGGGGGTGGCTTCTATTGTACATAAATATATTTAATTCTTAACATTAGAGAGCAACTACTATTAGCACGACTCCTTGTTGCAGTCGACAAAGTTGCTAAACTCGGTGGCATTGGGCGGGCCCTCACTGTACAAGTAGGTCACGGGCCACAGCCGGGCGGCGGCAAAATCGCTGAGGCTCTGGAGTCCTCCAGGTCGCGGCGGATGCTGGCTGTACTCGCTGCTGGCCGCAGTGGCCTGCTGTGGATGCTTCTGCTTCTCCTTGGCACTGGGCAGACCCAAATGGGAGTGTGTGACCTGAGTGGCATTCTTGCCGGGGAAGTAACGGTCACTGCACTTGCGCCACTGATCAAACTCATCGCCCACAAAGCACCTGGAGGGAGTGAGAAGTAACCCTATAACAGAGATTCCTTTCAAGATTCAGGTCTCTAACTCACCAGGGATAGTCAAAGCCCTTGCTGTAGCCGCACGGATGATCCGCCTTGCAGCAGTAGTCCCAGGAGCCCACCTCGGAGGCATCCGTCTCGCAGGAGTAGAAGCCCGTGACCAGGTTCTTTTCGCAGGGGCTGCTCCGGCGGCAGGGCTTGCCGGAAACGGTGTAGTGGCGCCAGGCCACATCGCCTTTAGCGAACAAGAAGCGTGTTTAGTGTGGATATGAGCAGGGGGAAATTAGGGCTTGGGAAACGGTAACGGTGGCATGCAAATCTCATAGTTAGTATCATTTTTTAAGGGGGATTCGCCTTTCGGTTATTGCTGGGTCTGTACATGCTTAGTAAACGTTATTTACACACAAAACATTCTCCGCTACAAACTAATTTACACATACTATAAGCTAATAATACAGAAACTATGACTAAACTACTGCCCAGGCAGGATCCTTTTGGTTATTTACACTGGGACCGAGGTGCAACAGGTTAGTAGACTGAGTTTACCCGGTTCCCGGAAGATGTCCATGCGCCGATCATTGTTGACCCGTGATCCCCCAATGGTGTTGACCTTGTCCCGGCAGGTCCAGTCGAATGGATTCCAGGCAAACAGCCAGAAATCGCGCTCCTTGGTGTGCGTATAGTGCACATCCTGCTTGAGCTCGGTCTGATCGAGGTCCGAGAGTTCGCAGTTAAAGGAGCTGGCATGGGAACTGGCAAGGGATGATGATGATTTATCAAGTATTAAATAAGCTTTTTCTGTATTTTACTTACCCATAACTAAAGGCAAAGCACTTGAAGGGTGTCGTCTCCCTGAAGCGTATGCACTCCTTCTTGCAGGCCATCTCCGAGGGCACCGATATCACCTTTTTGATGGCCGGCGGCAGCAGTCGAGCTGGCGAGCCATAGCCCAAATAGCAAACTAAATCGGGTTTGAGTTTTCTGTTAATACAAATACATATTTCTAGGTTTAAATTACTTACGTTTCTTGTGCTTCTCATCCACAATGGGCTGTATCTCGCAGCCATGGCCATAGCTGGCCCGCTCGAAGATGTCAAAGGCCGCATCTAAAATCAAATGACGCTCCTTATCCATATCCCTCACTGGCCAATCGCTGAGTTGGCAGTTGTCAATGACTCCTGCATGCCGCTGCTGGCCATAACGGAAGGCAAAGGCACGACAAGTGAACTTGGTGGAACGGATGCACTCCATCTCGCACTCGCCCACAGAACGCACGGTCAGGGAGTCGCGTACAATGGACTTGAAGAAGCGTGTGGCATCAATAGCGCGGAAAAAGCACTCTTAAATAAAAAGGAAATATTTATTTTTTAAATTAATCTTTAAACAAAATCAGCAATCCTTCAACTCACGAGCATTTCTGGGATCTGAGAGCGCTGTGCTGGGCCCTGCCGTGTCATGACGTCGCGGTGGTTGCCGGCACACATCCATATCATCCGCCATGGAGTATATATCATAATCTCTATCCGGCTCAATGTCCACATAGTAATCCAGCATATTGATGGGCCTGTCGCAGAGCATGCAGTTATCCCTGCCCGCCTGGTTATAACGATAGCTAAAGGTGTGGCAGATGAAGCTGGGCCGTTGGTCAGAGCACAAACGCTCGCATTCGGTCAAAGTGGGCACATTGAAGGCATGCTTTACGGCCGTCTTATGCAGCCGGAAGCCCTCGCTGGTCTTGGCCGAGCACTCTGTCAAGGATTTTAAAATAAGAAAAGAGATCCAGAGGACTCTGAACTGGAATACTCACCATCCTGTCCTGGTCTTCGCGTCCACTGCTGTCGGTAGTCATTGCGCCTTCGGGGATAATCATCCTCGTAACCCGATCCCGGATAGCTCAGCACCGAGTTGGATTCCCGATGCGGCGCCCCCAATTGGAAGTAATTAAAGTCCTGCTGATCCTTGCGTCTTTGGGAGTCCGTCAATCCCCAGTAGGAGGAGGAGGACGACGAAGAGTGCTTGCTGCTGCCACCATAAGAGCCACCATAGTGACCCCAGTTATCCTCGCCGCCAATGAGGTAAGGAACGAACTTGTTGGGCTTCTTGTAGGATCCTGGCGGTGGTGGTCCTGGTGGCCCTGCTCCATCCCTGTCGAGGTAGTTATGCGAGGGACGACTTGGTGGTCGGTAAGGGGAGTAATCGGAGCCAGGACGATACGGCGGTCGGTATTTATCAATGCGATCCGTTTCAGGACGTGGTGGCCTATACGCTGAGCTGTCATAGCCGGAGCTGCTCGGCAGCGTCTCCCAGCGATCCGGGCGGGAGCCTATACCAGGTCTATAGTGCGGCGGATCATGGCGATCCACATAGGGATGCTCGCCGCCGCCGTAGCTGCTTGGAGGCGTGTGACCAAAGTAGCCGGAACTGGAGCCCGAACTGGAGCCAGAGCCATGCGAGGAGAACTCATAGGAGGATGCCGAGGAGGACGAACTGTGAGAGCCATGGTACTCCGAGGAGAAGGGTGGTCGGTGCTCATAGGAACCGCTCGACGGCGGTCCCGAAGGACCACGATAGTGATCCACGGCCGTGCTGCTGGGCGGACGATAGTGATCCCTGTCCCGGTCCCTGTCACGATCGCCATATCCTCCACCGCCGCCGCTAGGCTTGAAGTACACCGGCTGACTGCTTACTGGACCCTTGGAACAATCCTGGCAGGCACTCCGCCGACAGCTACTCGGAGCATTGCGATCCCTCTCATAGTAGTCATAGTCCGGATGCCTTAGCAGATTGGCATCCCGTCGGTCTGGACTGGAGTAGAGATCCATCTGGGCCAACGGCATCTCTACCAGCTCGCAATCGCCCTGGCCATGACCCGACGGATCCAGTCGGTAGTTGAAGCCTTCGCACATAAAGCGCCGCTCCCGACCGCACTCCCGCATGCACTCCTCCACGCGCTCGCAGGATATGGAGCGACGCACCCAATGGGGCGCTATCCGTTTGCCGGCCAGGACGCGCCGGAAGCAGGCTGAAAAGGAGATCGGATCGGTGTTGCAGTGTGCCAGTTGCAGATGCTACCTCTTACGCAATGGAGGGCAGACAATACAAAAAAAAAAATATAACAGAGAAGCGGAAAAGATCAGGCATTCAACGTTGTTGCTGGGAGTCAGTGAAGCGAGGACAGAACCCAAGATCGGGGCTGGGTTGCTCCATACAGACCCATGAAGCCTGCACTTGGAAAAAAGGAAGTGTGTTGCACGAGAAAAGAAGAGAAATTGAATACAAATAGTTGTACTTCAGCCTTTTTTAATAAATTGTATTCATAGGGAAATGAGAAAATTGAGAAGCTCCTGTAGTTCTATTTGAAATTTGTAACAGAAAAACTTGAGAATTATAATCCTGTTAAAAAAAATATTGAGATTTTTATCTCCAAAATTATGCATAAACCTAATTGTAATCTTTATTTAAATAGTAATACACTTTAAAGAAAGTTTTTCATGTCTAAATATAATTACTTGAGAATTTCAAAGCTTGTTATATTGTTAAAAACATTACGCATAATTGCATTAAAACTCTTTCTAATTTCTCACTTTCCCAACAAGACTTTATCAAAATAAACCAATTATCAAAAAAAGACTGACACTTTTCTCCAAGTGTATTTATGTCTCAGTCTCAGTTTCTGTTTCTGTTACGGGTCGAATCGCTTTTCAGTCGCTTCTGTGTGTTTTTGCGGCACATCCGTTGCCGTTTTGAGTAAATTATGTTCGAGTCATGTTGGCTGCCGTGTACTAGCACTCGTACTACCTCCATCAGAGATTATCTCCGGGAAAATTGCCAGCGAGACATAGCCGTTTTTCACGCAGATGGCAGATGGAAATTATGCAAATTACATTTAATACGCACTCCGAAACGGACCTCAAGAGAGAGGTCGAGAAGTGGAATGACCCACAGCCCATTTAGACCCCTTACCCTTGGCATCCTCCACGATGATAATGGTGCTGCTGAGATCGGTGTGGCGAGTAGGACTAACAAATTTTGATTTGCTGTCGTTGAGGCAACAAAAAAGCAGAAGCAGCAACAAACAAATGTGACTGAGAGAACGCATTTTTGTGGGAGTTCTTTTTTTAGTAATATATTTTTTTTTGTTGGTTTGGAGTTTATGGTTCCAAAGCGGTGATTACTCGGTTTGATTACGTAATTGCTAAATTTGCGTTCTGGGCTAATTAATTTCTGTGCAATGTCAAAGCGCTTGGAACAATGGGCGACCAGGCCATCTCGCTCGCACACAGGACACGGATGCGAGAGCACAATTTCCGGACGCGCTTTTTTATAATTTTTGGTAACTCGAAATTCTCGGTTTTGCGACACGCGGCGCAGGCGATTCTAATCGCGAATGAACAGCGTCGGTGGTCAAGCTTGCGGTTTTATATGCGGCATTAGAAAATCGCGCGCGTTTTTCGAGCTTTTACGCTTCTGAGCCCCCGAGCCGAGAGCTTTAACGCTCTGGCTCTCGGAAAACTCCCACTTTGGTGGATTCTTTTTTCCGACTCTGTCTACCGGAGAGAAGCCTTGGGCCTCTGGTATAATGAGTGGCTGTGTTTTTCTACTCGTTTTTCGGTAGAAGATGCCTATCTTGGCCCGATGATTCAGATGAAAATACGAGGGTACAGATCACCGGCGAGATGCGATGCTGAGATGGGGGAGTCAGCCAAGCGTTGCCAGACCTCGCTCAAGGATGCCGCAATGCGATATGACACGCTTATTATTTCATTTCAATAAGAGCGGACTTAATGAGGTACTAGTAGCGGTTACTAGCTAAGTTACCCAAATAAATCATGGCTTTATAAAGGGGAATTATAGCTGGCTATGTTTCTTGGAGGTATTATATTTGGTTTCCAGATCAGGGTTGATCTAGATTTTTCATTATTGTGGGGTTATCATTGGTGTGTTTAATTGCCACGAGGTGGTTTTATGTGAATAAATTTATGGCATGGGGGAATAAAGATATTTATAGGTGATGAATACTGTTAAGGGGTAATTTAAATCGAAATTATTAAGATTTGTTACTAAATTAAGTATGCAAATTTTTTATAAATTGAGGAGTTTAATCATTATGCTTAAATGTTATAAACTTTAAGAAACCATGGCTTAAATATTCCTATTAAATTCAATAAGATGTCCATATTCCTCATTTTCATGAATTTTTCTAACTCATATTTGTTTATTTTGAACTTCTGACTCTTAAATATAATTTCTCAATAAATTCTTCCTCCCTTAAGAACTAATTTTAGCTATTTACAATTTCACAAGCCCCTACAAAACTCTCAAGTTCGTTGCCTAAGTCTTTTGTAGTCCTTTCAACTTGCTCGCCTAAGTCTTTTGTCTTATCTTAAATTCTTAGCTTTAAAGCTTAATTTTCAAGTATTTTTACTGCATTTCCCAATCAAGCCTGACCATAGATATCAGTACATCGATCATTTCGGTCACTCTTCACCACCAACTCCTTCTAAGTTCCCCCACCAAGCCGCATTTCCGTTTCCGAGTCAATGTCACTGCTGTCAGGCGTCGGCGGCGGCGGCGACGTCCAACTCGAACTCTAACCACAAATGTGGGTGGTTTTCCAGTTTTTGTGCAGCGGCTACATGTCCGTATTTGCATACAATGAGCAAACGCCAGAGGAGCTTGCATGCCAAGTGCAGTTCCACTCCGTTCTCTGTGCTCCGTTCTATTCCGATCTTGCACAACCCCATAGAACAGCCAAAAAAAAAAAAACCATAGAAAATACATATATTAGACTAGTGCCCGCCAAGATCGCTTCCGCCTCCAAGCGAATCCAAGCAGCCCAATCTCCCAGTGTAAATTACGATCTGTCCCACGCCAAATAAAAGCGAGCTAACTAACTAACTAGCGAACACGCCACCTTAGAAAAAAACAAACACACAATTAATTGCGGCAACGTCATCAAGTTTTTGGCATTTGAACTTGGAATCTCTTGGCACTTGCCATGTAGCTATATACGTGGTATATTTTATAGTGTGGCATAGGGCAAACAGCATGGGCTTATGTCACCGCCACCCGCTGGGTTCATGTACTCCACAAGCCGTCACACTTGGCGAAGCCGAAAGGAAGTCGCGTCGAAATCAAAACACAAATCGTTCTTTGATGATCTCGACTGGCGAATTTTTATTTAGAATTCGCCATAAATCTTTTGCACTTGACAACTCAATTTCTTCTGTAAAGAACAATGAGATCATGTACATGAAGAAGCCGAAAAGGTAACCTTGAAGGGGTTCATATGGTTTTTCTGCGATATCTAAAACCAACTCTTAAAGGGAAATTCTAAGGAAAAACTGGTTGTACTCCTGTTTTCTAAATAGTTCTTTAAAAAATAAAGAGGTATGGTAAATATTTATACTTTAAATACTCTTCAATTAATAATTTACTGCATTAAAATACCTATTATAACCCCTGTGTCTGCCCCAGATTTTTCAACTCATTGTAGGCCCCCGCTTTTGGACATTTATCAAAACCTTTGGCCGCAGCATTATTTATTATACCGTTTTTGGTGGGTGGGTTAGTTGCGCCGAGCTTTCGGCGCGGTGTGTCGAGTGTTTGTATGCGAATGTGAATAATGCACCACCGCCCACTCACCCCAACCCCAACCACATCTCCATCCCGCTCCCAAAAACCAGATCCGATGAGCATTATGCCAGGCTAATGGGTTTAGTTTTGTTACGCAAATAAAAGCCGCCGAATGTGGGTCAATCGAGAGCGGCTGTCATCTGTCAGTTGGCGTCGACCCAAAAGCTAATGAGTTTTAGTTGTAGTTGTAGTTTAGCCAGCTTAATTCTACATTTTAGTGTCATTGTGGTGGTTGCCGTTGTTGCAACCCTCAAGTGACCCGTGTCATAGTCATAGTTTATATATGATTAGCCTCAGCCTGTCTAGGGGGTTATTAAGGGGTTAACTTAGGGGACAGAGCGAATCCATGAGTTAGTTGAGGTTTTAAGGGGGTGAGGATATTCTCCTATCAACTCACCCTTCAGTTCATCCATGGGATAGCCTAGGCGATCGCGATCTCGATCTCTATCTCGGTCTCTGTCACCGGGCATGGGACGTTCTGTTTAAATAAATGTTGATTTTTAAAATAAATATCTTAATTAATTACTAACTATTCCACTTACTAAAGTCATCGGGATTAAAGTAGGTGGCTATAGTCTTGTCATCATCATAGCCTCCATAACCATCTCCTGGACGCATGGCGCTGCCATTTCTTCGTATATAATCATCCCTAGGCGGTGGTGGGGCTTCATAAGGTGGCGGTGGCCTAGCCGAGGGTCCGTTCATTCCATAGCCATCATGCGGCTGCTGTGACGGCGGATCCGGACGATTGGTGTAGTCCGGACGTGGCTCCCGATGACCATCGTAGCTGGGACTGGGTCGAGGTCCATAGGAAGGCGGTGTGGAGCTGTCATAAGGGCGTGGTGGCTGCGGCGGGCCCGGTGGATAATCTGGACGATCAGCAGTAGGCCTAGGCGGTGGCCTGGCCGCATAGCTGGGTCGCTCTTCGGAAGATCCACTCGAGGGCCTCATTGTCGGAGGCGGAGTGTACCTCTCCGGTGAGCCATAGCTGTAGCCGTTGCCATAACCCAAGCCAAAGATGGGTCTAGGTGGACCATGTGGCGTGGGTCGTACTCCATCATCCTCCGCAGGATCCACTGGTCCATAATGCGGGGGGCGATAGCGCTCATTCACCTCGGGAGCATTGGCAGCATAACCACCAGGAATATAGACATCCTCGTTGGGTGAGGGATAGTTGTTCTCATACAGAGTTGGATACTTGTACAGCGGATACAGATCATGGGAGAAGTACAGTCGATCTCCCACACCAGGAGAGGGTCCCAAAGAAGAGAGAGGCGGCGGAGGTGGCGGTGGACCGCCATCTGTGTGGGGAGTGGGATTCACCACCAGCACGGGGGTATTGCCCACGTCCAGCGGTCGGTTGGGCAAATCCACGGGCGTCGGTCCCGGAGAAATGGGACTGGGACCCGGGACGGGCTGGAGTCCGGGGCCAATCGAATTGTCGCTCAAGTCGAAGCAGTTCGTCTTGCGCGTGTACAGATCAAAGTCGGGATCGAAAATAACGCCCCCTGGCCGCCCGCCGCCCCCGGAGCCGTACTGTTCCGACGACAACTGACAAGTGCCGTTTCCGCGTCGATGAACACTGCAAAAAATCCACAGAAAAAATACAACAAATTACCGAAAAGATACATAAGTTGGAATCGAAATTGGGCAATTAATTGGCCAATTGACAGGCTTGGAGGAGACTCACCCAAACGAGATCGCCTGACACTTCTCGCCCGCCTGCAGGCACTTCTCCTTGCACATCTTCAGCGAGTTGGTGTCTTCGGTGCGGAAGGTCTTCTCAAATGGCAGCATCGCCTCCAGCGCAATCCGCTCGAAGCAGTCTGTCGATGCAGAGATTCAGAGATTGGGGGTATTACAAAAGGTTCACCTGACAGTTGGGCAATGAATGCAGTTCCCCCTTCCCTCCTCCCTCCTCCCTCCGCCCAGTTCCAAGTCCCAGCTCAGCCATTGCGTCACCGCACTTGCACTTTCAAGGCCACCTCCGGCCAGTGGTGCTCCACTTCGTCCACTCCACTCTACGGTAGGTTAGTTTTATTGACTCTGCAATTGTCTCTGTTGTCCAATTGTTAGCCGGCTTTGTTCTCCATTCGAATTTGAATTTTATTAACTTTGCGTGCCGCCAGTTGAGGCATTAACCCATCGGCGACCATAGAGTTCTCCCTTTTCTTCTATTTTTTTGTCAGTGCATGAATAATTCAAAAAGGTCAAGCCACAAACAAAAACACCATTGGCCATGCTTGATGGATTGGCCCCCAGCCTATGGTTATTAGATGGGCATGATCTTTTCCAAGAAATTACCTCATTTAGAATATTTCCTATGTGATGTTAATTACTCTAGTTTAATTAATATTTACAAAATTATTTTGGGGTCACTTTTGTTGGAAAAAGAGATTAATGATCGTGCGAAATAAATATTTACATATTTTTTGTTTACATTTTGGCAAGAGGTGTCATCTTCTCAAATATAATTTACATTGTTATGAGTGCCAGGTCAAGGTTTAAAATAAAAATAATACAATAAAGATATTAAATTGTTAAAAAATTAAAATTGCTAAAACCTTTTCACACTTTGCAAATATGTTTCCTTTATTTTAATCTTAGAACTACTTTGTCAAATATAATTAAAAAATACTACAAAATTAAGTCAATACATTAGCATTAACATCAGCTCCATAAGAACACACTTACGTTTAAAAATCTTACAAAATTGTCTTTAAAACCACCTTAATAATAATAAGTTGATAATAAAAACGACAAATATTTTTTTAATTACCATATTATAATAATTTTCCCATTCCCATAATAAAGCTCTTAAAAGTAGTTCTCGCCAAATGTCATAAAATGGTTTTAACGATCAATTGTTAATAAGCTTAAATGTTGTAAATTAACACATTAAGTGTATGTAAATTAAGAACAAAGTATAAACTACGGGAAATTCGTTTATGATATTAGGAAAAAAATAGCGAAATTAAATATTAACAAACATAATTAGTAATGTTATAGGGCTCGCACTAAACATTATTAAAAAAAACTTGTTGTATAGTTGTAATTGAGCAAAAAGAATAATGGCGTGAATGTTTTTATTTAGGTTTTTTGTGGCACAATAATAACAAAATTGTGAGTCAGAACACCTATAATTTAATATCATTTAGGTAAAAATTAAGGTAATTTTGCTTAATTCTAATGCAACTGCTATCCCCATTAGGAATTTCTTACAGTTAATAGAATTCTACTATATCAATGCTGGATCTCTTTTTAAAATTATTAAAAATATCTTTTAACCATCGGCCTCAAAGGGTTTACTGATCTCCCCCTACATCTTCTGGTGATTATATAGAGCTCCCCACAGCTTCCGATCTTCTCCCGCTTACCATTGCGTGCAGAGACCAATTGATTGTCGACTGTCAAAGCCGATGTGGCGGAATACCAAAGACCGATCAGGTGAAATGCCAGCAGCATTCGTTGCCCGCGTCTATTATAGCCAATCGCGATCATCTCGCTTCGATATCCGATAGCCAAAACTGATGCTTTCTTTTAGATTTGGTAAGCTCACTTAACTCGCTTTTTTTGCGGCACTTCCCTTGCACATTATCGGCGGTTTCACTGGATTTTTTTATACTGGGCTCTTGTGCCCGAAGATTTGCTCGAGGCACCGACGGGATGGACGAGAGATTGCGAACTGAACGCCGGCGATCAGCTCGAGGCGCGTAGAAACCTTCTTCTTTCTTCCGCCTTTCTTCGGAGTCGCGTGTGTGTTTCTTTTTCTTTCTTTTTATTATTTCTGGCTTTCGCGTTACGATTCGCTACTTTTCACATTCTTTTCACCGTTAATTATGTTGCCAAAATATGCAGATCATTAAAAATGAGCCAAGATCAGCTTTATATTTACGGGCTCGCTTTCTGTGAAGATTCTGCGGTTGCGGAAGAGACCGCCAAGTCTACATAATTATGGTAAGATGGGTGTGTGTAACTGCGAGTGGAACAGAGAAGGAGAGAGTCAATAACCTGACCGACCAACCAAGCGCGATACGGATTAGGGTACGGAACTGAACCTTCTTATAGACGATGACGTCAGAGTTCACTGAACACACACACACAGATAGAGAAGAGAAGGTGCCTGTGACCTTTCCACCAAAAGTTTTCGGAGTTGTCCGATAATTAAAAACTTGAATGACAAAGTGCTCATCAATGCGTAAATCCAGCATTTGTCATACCAATGCCAGGGGGTACGAAAAAAAACCCCCAAAAAACAATTAAAGCTTATTTTTCATAGTTTTTTTTTTTAACAAACTTGGGAAAGAATCTTGATGATTAATTAAAAGCGGAAAGAACAATTCTTGGCATAAAAATGGAGACTTTCTTCTATTTCTGACTTTGTTAGCGAGGGAAAAATTCAGGGCAGGGAAATTAAGCTGGGAAATGTAGCGAATATAACGGTAGTTCGTTGCGCTTTGACACTTTTGCAAATCGCAAATCTTCACAATTTCGGCTAATGACAAGAAAGTCAGACACACACCTAATTTCAATTTACTTTTGTTTTAACTCTTTTTTTAGTTTCTTGTTTCTAGCTTAGTTTTGTTTTTGATTTTCTATTTTTATTTTATTTTATTTTTCATTTGTTGTTTTTGGGGCTCGTCTCGTTCGGTTTGGCTGCGTCGCGCACTCGACGCCGATCCGCACTCGCTAAACAATTGAAACTGAATAAAAATTCTGATTTAGTTGTGTTCGAAACTCATCGGAAGAGCAGAAAGCGGCGCAGACGCGACAGTGCTGCGGCAGAGCCGCGGGCAGAAGCAGTGGCAGCGGCAGCGACAGCTAAGCATCTCTCTCTTCCTAAATTGTTGAATTGCTGCACTGAGAAAAATTAATTGGAGGAGCATATATTAATTAGGAAGTATATAGAGTATATGAGGTCGGTGTTTTGCAGTCATTCATCTCAATCTATACAATTTAATTATTATTATGTGTTTAATTTTTATCATTAACTATAAAATTTCCTTGTAAAATGTTTTTTAACCCTTAAATTAAAGATCAAACAAGCATAACTAATGACTAGCCTAAAAAGTATACAATATAATAATAATAAATATTCCTTTCTTCCAGGACCTTAAGATTCCCAAGTACAAATTTGGAGACCAACTAGAAATATTAATTTATGGAGATTAAATATTTTTAGAAAATAGTATTATCATTTTTATCATTCTTAATTTGTAATTATTTTGTATTACATTATTTACTTATGAAAATAAACTCTACGAGTTCCCCTTTTATTTTTCCAAGTGTAATATAGTTGTTGTTTATTTAGATGGTAGCTCAGGTGAGCCATTGCCAGGCGTGAGGTGTTTAGGGCGCGGGTGTGAGGTGCTGCTGGGAGGCGCTGGAGCTTGGCTCTGCAGAGATCGTCATCTTCATTATCATCATTAGCAGTGCCCACGCTGCGCCCACTTGAGACAGCGTCGGGGGAGGTAGGGAGTAGCAAGGAGGGAGGGCTTCCGAGGAGCGAAAAGAGCTACTTGGGAGGTTCGTCCGATTTTCCCTGATAGCTGGCAATGACTCTCGAAAATTGTTTGAAATGAAATTGTAACAGGAAAAGCGAATGCTCTTTCTTAAAGGTTAAAAAGATTAAATTAAGTTTTATTAGAAATATATTTATATTTAATTAAATTTGAAATCTATACCATATATGAGGCTTTCCTAAATAAGTAACAATATTTTTCCATCAGTGCTTATGAATAACATTTTTGTTTTAGACAGAAATCATTATTTGTTTGCTCTCCTAATAAAAGTTATTAAAAAGTTGATGGTTAATAAAAAGTTGCACATTTTGTGGTACATAAAAACACCGTATGTTAATGGTTTGTCGGCGAGACGTAAATCAAAAAACCAATATAAAACTGTGAATTCAACTTTATTTTAGCTTATTTTTGATGATTTAAAAACCATACATACTCCTTCCCATAGCTCATATACCCCTAAAAGTATATTCATTCAGCTTCGCGTGATTATTGCTTGTGTGTTATGTGTTTCTCTTGATGCAATTAGAGACAGAACTCTTGGAAGCCGGGAATTAGTGGAGTAATCGAATCAGAACCAAAAACTCAGGCCAAGAAATCTAAGAATCCAAGCTGTAGTTTTTGAGTTTGAAGCTCGGAGAGTTTTCTTTCCGCCTTGCTGACCGCGCTAAGCGGTGTGAAATTCAAATTTAACGGACACCCAGCTGCCCACGAGTGCACTAGGTTGTTTTTTTTTAGCTCAAGCGTTAATTTGAGCCAGTTTTTGTAAAAAGCTCGAAAAAGAGGTTTTTGAAAAGATGGGGAAACCCAGGGCAATGATGATGATAATGATGGGTGAAGGGGGAGGGAGTTGGGTGGCGCATAATTGGCGACACCTTTAAGTGCCGACCTTGTCATGCTCGCTGGCGTCGTCTAATTCAGGCCGGGGTTGTTCTTCATCAGCGCCCATCGCCATCGACTCCGAAATCTGCCACTGCGCATGCGCAAAGTCGCAGTCTCAGTCGCAGTCAGCGTCGATCTTGGCAGATTCAGGAGGTTGAACCCTGATTCGGAATCTAATTCGAACTCGGACTGAGATTCGGAGTGGAATTCACTGAATGCGGAGATGAGCTCATTTGGCAAGCTCATTTGCATACCAGGAACTCGGAGGAATTCTAAGTCGCATCAAAGGCTACGCCCCTTGGCCAATTATCGAAGAGTTTTGGGGATTGCCCGAAGTATAATTAACATAAAACGAAAAATTTGCATATAGGAAATTAATTACTTAAGGGTCCATTCTGGTTAGTTGAAAAAAAAAATAGAATTTTTTTTTTTTTGCATTTTTCGATAGCTTTAAGTGTGTAGAATATCATACTAAAAGATCAAATCGAAATACGTAATAGTTTAAAAGCTATGAGCCTCCGAACCGGCCGACTCAAAGCAGCTACAGAGCAAACATAAAACTTTAAACGCGTTTTCTGGAAAACTACATTTTTCGGGCTGGCGACCATAATATCTCAGTCAATTTTTAACGAATCTTAATGATTTTTTTTTTAAATACGCTTAATTAACGTGTCCATGGAATAGGCTACAATTATATTGATAGCTTAAACATTGGATTTTTACTCAACAAAAAAGTAAGGAAATTTTTCAAAAAAACGAAAAACAATTTTTGAGGCGCCGCCATTTTCTTATTTTTTATTCAATTTTAAAAAAAGTAGCCTATTCCATAACCACATTCATACAAAACAAGAACATATTTGAATTTTTTGTTTCAGTCGATTTTTACGTCCTGCAGGATGGTCGCCAGAGGGGTGCCTTTTTTGGGCATGGGCTTACGTCGCCCTGTGTCCTGCTTCAGGACATGCTCTAAAAATTTTTGAAAATTTTGCTAAATAATCTTTAAACTATGATAAATATATGTGACAAGTTTGAACTTTCTATGTCTTTTCGTTTGTCCACAACAAATTTCTGAAAATGGCCTATTTTTTGGCCCAACTAACCAGAATGGACCCTTAACAATTTTACTTATTTTTGGGTTAATAAATTTGGTAAGTAGTGGTTAATAAAACGTTATTAAACGCTGACTCCGTATAATCATACAAAGATACAAAAATCTGCTTCAGTGACGATATAAACCTATGAAAATAATTTTAAAAGTATTAATTAGGTCAAGGAGCTTCTTAAGAATCAGAGCAACTCCTTTTAGAGAATTCCCAGGCTTTCAATATTCTTAACAATTTTGTATCACTCATAACAAAGCTACCACCTCCCGCAAGCAGGTCAAGTCTACACCGTCTCAGAGCCAACACTCAAATGGCCAAAATAGAAGGCTCGCATTGGCATTGCACAATTATTGGTTTGGTGGGGGCTGCTCCACATATCCGATATATATGGCATACAATAGAGTCTTTTGCTTGGCACTTGTCCCTCGACCCTATCAAAGACCCAAATCGCAAACGCATCAAAATTCATCCAACCATTCGGTGGCGATCGGCGATTCGGCGCTTTTGGCGAACGCTCTTTGCCTGCCAAGTGGGTGAGGCTAAACCGAGCCCGATGTTTGACCACGTCTCTAGCGTATCTGCGTGGAAATTTCAATTTTTATTTGGCCGTGTCTAAAAGTACAGAGATCGATGGCGACCCAATAGCCACCGCCGCACAGTAGCGCCTTTTCTCATTTAACGTTGCAAAAATCATAACTTGTGAACAAAACAAGATAACTAAATAATTTAAACGCCATTTGACAGGTAATTGTTGTAAAATTAACATATGTATTGGAAAATCTGCCACGCCCACTCATTCGCCTTTTTAAAGGGTATCAAAGTAAAGAAATATTTATTTCTCAATGAAGACAATTTTTTTAAAATATTTTTTATTTAATTTTTTATCTTTATTTTAATGTATTTGCTTAAATAAAAATAATTTGAAAACTGAAAAAAAAAATTTTTTTTTGTTCTAAGTTTAACCGCCACAGAACCGTGAGCGCTACAGTTAGTATTT